AATAGTGATAATAAATAGTGGCGTTTTTAGACAAACATAAGGCTAATGTTGAAGCCATTATTGGATTCCAGTCACTGATACCTGATGCTGACAATTTTCATCCAGGAGGTGTACAAATAAGTTGCAGAAATGATAAAGATCCTATTCCATTTTTTGCCTTTGAGGTCTGCATTTTCTTTTCCTCTAGTGTTCACCAAGATATAGCACATTCTCAATATAGAGCAACATTCTTTTTATTATTTTAATTCGAGATCAACAGATGATTGTGCCACTGTTTTGTTTTTGGCTTTGAGATACGAATCCGATAGCTATGGAAATCGAAAGTGCATACAACATACTAGCATCTGCAACACGTTTAAGTCTTATTTATTGGCCTTTGTTGCCATTTAGGAGGAATTTAAGTTGACAATTAGATCAACAAAGAAGCATATTTATTGTTCCTTTATTTTTATGCCTGCTGAAACAAAATTGTTGTTGATCAAGTTAATGGATTTTGCTATGAAAAATCTATCAGACATTGATGGCGGATTACAGGATTTAATCCTCACTGTCTCTTAACCAAACCACTGGTGTAGTGACAAAAGGACTTGCATTGTATTCAAGTCTCGATTGACACACTGTCTGATAAAAAAAATCTTCATTGGCATGTTCAAATATAAGCGCCTTCTTGATTAACTCGTATACTGAAAATAGAGTTGTGTCCTCTTCATGCAGTCAAGTCCACTACAATGCTTCAAAGATAATAATGTAGAGCTAGCCAATCAAGCATTGCTACCCTTTTCACAATTAAGAGGCCATGCAGAGGAAAATGATGTGGTTCCTAATAAACATGAAGATTCTAGCAGGAATGTTGATGTGAATATCGGCTTCAAAGACCAACGGTAACATCAATTTGTTTCAGGAACCACATTAGCACCTCCAATGGTTGCATGAAATGAAATTGAATCATCCCATGAAGATTAATAAGCTTATACCTCTTGTGAGTTATTCTTCCATTTTAATATTTAAGTGGCTATCAAATTTTATAGTTACTTGCTCTCTAAGGTTATATATCTTCCGATGCTGGTATGCAGATTTTCAACATATAATATTATTATGAAGCACCACAATGTCATGAGGAATTATTGATTTTAGTTACATTTTCTTCTAGCTATCCACTTGCAATTCCTTAAAAATAGCTCTTTTAGTATATATGCTTTACATTGTTGTTTTCAGTAAGTGTAATGTGTTTTACCTTCCTCGTATTTATTACACTCAAAACTTGTTTTCTCTCATTCTTTTGCTTAATAGGTTACCAAGCCAAAGCAGTCTTTTATAGCCATTGCAGAAGCTACTCCACTTGTTAGTTCATTGACTTCAACAAGTAAAGAACCTAATGGACTCTTACTCTATGGTTCGACTCTCAGCAAACCACCAATTCCTAGCACTCATGCAGGTAGTTCATTTTTTTGTCTCACTTTGGTGCCTGGAAGTTCTATTTCATCTCAGCGACCTTTGTGTCTAATTAGTATCTTGCAGATACAACTGTTGTACAAGGATATCAAATTTCCCTTTGTTAATGTGGATGAATGCGTCAAATTATTGCCTACTGTCTGGTTTAGGTAAAAGAGGAAGAGTACTTGGTTCTTTTTTGCAAAGTTGTGAACTAAATTGGTATTTTCATTTCTCATCCGTTCCTTGCTTATCAAGAATATTTATATATCCATTCTAGAGTTAGTGTTCCTTTCTCTTTTTTTCACTATCATAGAAAGAGAATGAATGCAGTACATTTCATTTAAACTTGACTATATTATTTGTGATAATTGATTAGTTTTATACTTCATTATAAATTGTTGTTTTGTCTTATTGAATTTGTCATATTTCAGTTTGTACATTGAATCTTTTTGTTAATAACTCAGTGGTTTTGTTTTAGTTTTGAAAAATTGAGTTGTGTTTCACAAATTGTATTATTTTCCCTTGTTTTGTTTATCGTATTATATACAATGTCGTACTAACCAGAGTTGCAATGTTCTAGGTTGTCCCTTCCTCAACAGTTCTTGATGATACAAGTGCAGCAAATGCACATCATACTGCTACTTAACCTGTATACTGTAATAGTAACCTATTCTCTGGGGTTGTTCTTGCAAATAGGTGGGAGCTGGATGATTCTACAAACGCAGAAAGTTATAACGGTTGGGGTCCTACTGATGCACCGAAACATTCAGAGTTAGGCAACACAGGATGGATTGATGAACTAATCAGAAAAGACTACAATGGTTGGGGTGTACAAGATTCCTGGCCTACATGGGTGAACAATATTTTTTTAATTGAAAGTGAAAGAACCTAGATTAAATTCTAGAGAATAATGTCAAACTACATTACATTTAATTGTAATGTTTATAAATTTTAATTTATTTTGTTGTTAAGTATTTTTCTGCATAATGTGTCTTAATTAAAATTTATGGTTGTTGTTAATTAGATGAAGCTACATGATATTAAATTTATGTGATGTAGAGCATAAATGAAATATGCAAAATCAATTAATATAAGCTAAAAAAATGTAATTAGCGGCGTTTGTATCTAAAAACGCCGCTATAGATCTCAACCTTTTACGGCGTTTATTCAAAAAACGCCGCTATAGATCTAATCTTTTACGGCATTTGTTCCAATAAACGTCGCTATAGATCTGACCTTTTACGGCATTTTTTTCCAAAAATGCCGCTATAGATCTCGACCTTTTGCGGCGTTTGTTCCAAAAACACCACTATAGATCTCGACCTTCTGTGGCGTTTGTTCTAAAAACGCCGCTATAAATCTTGACCTATGGCGGCACTTTTGGTTCTCAAACGCCGCTAACTTTAGCGACGTTGGTTTTAGCAGCGCTTCTTGCGGCATTTTTCCAATCGCCGCTATAGGTAAAAAAACGCCGCAAATGTACAGTTTTGCTGTACTATCTTCACCATACAATATCAGTCACACCATCTTCTCCACAATATCTAAGTTTATGTTAACCACATACCTAACGAGGAGAATTTTTAATTTCAGTTTTTCATTAGATTTTTTTTATTATCTTTTCATAATTATTTTTACATATCTTTAACGTATAGATTAGTATCTTTCTAACAAGTATTTGTTTTCTTGATTCCGTATCAGGAACAATTTTGCTGAAAACCCTAATTTTGGCTAAGTTCTTTATATCCTATTATATTCGTTATCTTATTTCCTATCTTTGATTTCCAACAAACCATAACTTTGTCGTTGCCCCCTTCTTCTCCATCATCTTTTGTTCTTTGACAAAGTCTAGATCATTAGGTTTGATTCTTCAATAACGAGCAGTGTTCATGACTCTGTTGTCATCATATATTAATTGATATCATATTTGGATCAATTCTTGGAGAGAATCAAGCGTTTTTACTTGTTCTTGCATGCATACACTATCGAGGTACCCCAACGGAGTTAGTTCGCAACGATTGATCGTTTTCATGTTCTTTTTGAATTCATTTAATTTTTTTCAATTCCTTCTTGATAGTTTACTATTTGACATCAAAAAGAAAAATAAAAACAAAAAAATCGAAAAGAAAAGAGAAAAGAAAAGAAAAAAAGTCAGAAAAAAAATCCTAGAAAAAGAAAACAAAGGAATTTGGAGCTGATTTTCTACAGTACATTATTCATACTAAGAGTGATCCCCAGTAAAAAATTTAGGTCAATCGGACATCAAAAGACCCCTCAAAAGCACCATTCAAATTTGTTCAATAGATTCAGGGTTTTTTGTTAAAAATTTTCCAGGACATTTTGGTGAAAAAATTTGATCTGAAATTTTACATGCATAGTTCCCATCACAATACCCGTTTTCAGTAAAATAATTATACCATTTGGACATCAATAACCCCTTCAAATGTGGTGATAAAAGAAAATTTGACAAAATTAGGGTTCATCCATTCAAGAATTTACACAAGATAATACTAAAGGTATTTTGGGATGAAACTTTACATACTATTTCTACACTCAAAGAATGACCCACACATAAAATTTCAAGTTGTTTGGACATCTACAACCCTTTCCAACGTGTTTCTCAATTTGATCATGTATTCTCTAGGTTTTTTGGGTTTGGTTTTCCTTCATTTTTTTTATTCTTATTGCTTTAGGTTCTTTTGTTTTTTCCTTCTTTGTTACTTTACATCGTCTAACACATTCTTGTTCTTGTTTTAGTAGGACTAAAAGAATATGCATACTACTTCTTCCTTACATTCTCATTCATTTGGAATTTTTATCACCTTGCTCGACATTTATTTGATTGTAACAGGTATCTTAGAATCAAACCATCTTGTTGTTGGTTTGATAGCGTAAAATCAGAAGGTGAAATGGAAGATGAATTTTTACTAAGATATCTTTTAGCATATCTATTCGACAGAAAATGGATGAATAAGTTAAATACGAAATAATTGAGGTTGCTTAAATTTCATATTTCTTTTTGGTGTTCACCTATGCGTTTAAAAATCTAAACGAAATTTGATCACGACGAATCAAGTAAAACTATAAGAACTATAGGTTGATGCTCGGTTCTAAATGTTGCATGGGGAATGAAGGATAGTAAGAATATTTTGTCTTTACTCGAGCAGGGGAGTTTGTCTCCCCTATGGTCGCTGAGTGATTGGCAGTTGAAGTGGAAATATAGTAGCCAATGGCATGACAAAACTAAACGTTAGTTTGTGGGTTAATTAGTACGACGTTACCTTAGTTCAATTAAAATCACGAATTTCAGACCCTAAAAATGTAACAAGATTTAAAAGATTTATTCAAATTACTCATTACTTAAATAAGTAAAAGTAACAGTAATATTAACTACAAAAAAGAGTAGACTGTCCTAAAACAGTCCAAACAGTGACATTATGTTTTGGATTTAACTTGGTTTTGAGATTATGGGCCCAAGTTTTGAGGCATTTCAGATTCAATAAGATTAGCCCGTCACACGAAAAAAAAAAATTGTTCTCTTTTATTTATTTATTTCCATATTTTGTTTTCAATTCTTCCCGTCCTTTCTTCTAGGTAGGAATTGAATAAGAGTTATACTTGGATAACCCCCAAGCTTCAGAAAACAAATTGCAGTCGAACTTTAATATAAATTAAACAAGACCAATATTTGCAACCACAAACTAAGCTGTAGTATTCATGGCCCCGAAACATCTTCCATTTGCCATATCCTTGTTGAGTGGCATACAAATGAAATAAAACTGACTGCATTTTATGCTCCGCTTAATGAAAATGCCTACTGAAATCCACTTTTATCATTACGAAAAGAAAGCACGAGCCACTACAATAGTCGTTAACAGAAACGGCAGAGAGAGAAGGTAAAACTTCATCGATCCATTTTTTTGAGGAGGATGGCCTGCAGAACAATCAAAACACCGGGATCACCAGCTTTGAAACAGTGCGCATCACAGAATATAAATGTTGCAGAGGCAGAAGCCAAAATGCATAAGGATTCTCCAAACGAGTTATAGCAGCTCTAAGCATGGTTACAGCACACGTGATGCAATTTATGTGAATATAGGTTTACCAAAAATAAATTATGCCGAGTAACTTACAGGACACTGATGGTATGACTTCAGCCCTTGATGCAGTTCAGCTGATGAAATTAGAAGCTTTACAGGACGAAATTCAACAGATTGATTGTGTCCTCTGTTGTCTATAAAATTAATCAATTGACGTTGAAGAAGGTGTTCAAATGCCTGCAAAAAATTCGAGTGGAATGTCATCGGACCCATGGCATGATTTTTAGTATCTAGAATACAAACTTTGAAGTCATATATTGTGGCTTCCATTTAGAAGCTCACTTTAGAGAATTATACAAACCCGTAAACAAACATTTGCTGCATAGTTGTCAGAAGTTTGGGATGAATCGTGTATGGTCTTGTATTCTGACCCATGCAAAAATGAGTAAGTGAATAATATCTTAATGCTACTAATGTACAAATATATATATTATATATACACACTAATCAAAGCAGTGAAACAAACCTGTCATAACAGTATAGAAGTTATAAGAATTCTGCTCCTTAACTTCCAACCTTTTCATACATACCAACATATAGAGTTCCAATATGGAGCAATCTGCTTGAACAAGTTCAATGTGCACTCAAGGTTGTTATGCTTCCAATAACATTAAATAAATCAAAGACGGATAATTTCTCTTATTATGCTTCATCTTACCCTGACTTTCCAACTAAGTTTTAAGTCCAATTTGCATGAAGAAGAGAGATTGTTTTTGAAATTTCTTCAGATGTAAGTTGCGTCAAATGTTAGACATTTAAATAGTCAACTAAATTTAAATACAAACAATATAGTTACAAAACTTTCATCAGTTTGCAACAATAGTCAGCTGAAAACCATCCATACTCTACGATGGTGCCAGGCTTTCAAAGATTAAGGTAACTTGGGGTGACACATTACACAACAAATGTTTAGTGAAATCACAAAACTTTGCAACAATACTCTTCTGAAAATCATCAACACAACACAAAATGCCCAAAGGAAGTTGAATCATTCGAAAGATTTCTAACAATTCTCATATAAGATAATGTACTCTTTGAACATCTAAGCATAAAAACAAGAGCAATAACAACCTAAAAGTTGAGAATTTCAGCATGAAAAGGGGCAAAGGACCAGAAAGTCCGAGAAGAAGCTCGTAACTGATGACAGTTTGGTTTAACTTTTCACGAACACAAGTCAACTTGAAGCATATTGGAAGAACAAAAAAGGAATCTTATATTCATGCACCCAAACACAAATCAACAAAACCATTGAGAACAAGAGGCCCACAAGGTAGTCAGTGTCCATAGTACTTGATTATAAGGTTCAGTAGATTATTTACATGGAGAAAAAAGTTAGACAAAAACTATAATTTAAACCAGATTAGTATTACCATTAAGAAACAAATTGGAGATAATTTGACCTTTAAAAGCATACTACTCTTAAGGAGTTATTAATATTCCTAATAGTAATGAAAGGTAGAAAAATGCAAATAAAATAAAATAAAACACAAAATAGATAGGAAAGCTTATTTAAGTCCTCATACCTCTTATACATTCCAGTTTTGGTTGCCGCTGATTGCTGGAAAGTGCAGTTTTGAAGTTCTCAAGTGAAAGGAATCCAACATCCAAATCCATATAAGAAACAGCTTGAAATCTAGAATCAATTAAATATTCATAAGAGCTGATTAGAAGACATTGAAATTGTAAGAGCTGATGTATATATAAAAGCCTGAAGTTCCAGATGCAAGAAGGTACACATACAAAAACCTAACCAGATGGCCAATTGTGAAATTGAAACTCAAATAAGTATTAATCAGCTCTTTGAATCTATCATCAGAAAAGATTTTCTACAAGATGTCAAGGAATTCATCAGCTAGTCTGGAAGAACAGATCCCTGGAAGTGTGCAAGTAAAATATATATAATCTAAGGTGCGTGAACATTTAGGTATCAACAGATTTTGAGAATTAGATAATTACAAATTATGCGTAAAAAAATTTAAAGCACCTTAGAAGCATGCATAAAATTTAATTTATGCTTTATGTTTACATGTATAACAAAGGGCAGCCTGAATTCATTAGGTTCTACATTTAAAGGTCATATCTATTCAACCTTACCCCTACTTGTACTGTTTATTGGACAGTAAATTATCTATGGGAAAGGATACTTTTAGCCTTCCATTAAATTCAGCAGCATAGTTGTGGGGAATGTTTGAATCCACAGGCAATGACAAAATGTGCTCCATGAATCTGCAAGGGCAAATTAGGCATCTTATAATGTTGTTCATCCTTGAGCACAAGACAATGATATCCATAGACAATAGAAAAATAACCTTTCCGTGTCTTCTTTGGATGGAGAAAGAAACAGCAGCTTTCTGTGTGAAAAACGAGATCTCACTCTTTTTTCAAGAAGCTGATCAACATCCTACATGGCATGGACTAACTTATTAGGGCTTCCAGTGGAATAAAAATAAACTGTTGAGAAGGAACACTGACTATAATTTAAACCCGCAGTTAACTGGCACAAGTTTACTGTGGATCTATGCTAAAGACTCTGTAGTAGAAAACATGCTGATCTGGTTGGGGAATTTAAAAAGTGGAATAAAAATAAACTGTTGAGAAGGAACAAGTGGGGAGCTAAAGCCCCATGCACTTCATTCCAAACCTCATCTTTCATAGAATTACTTTATTTCCAGGTTTGTTAGTGGGCTAAAAGATGAAATTGAGATCAGGGTGAAAGCAAATGAAGCCTAATTCTATGACCTCTGCCTTCAGACAAGCCAAACTACACGAATTATCCCTTGAACTAGAATGAAGAAGAAGTGAAACACTACCTAAACCATGACCCAATGAAACATTTACCCCATACTGATAGGTTGCATAATTGCTAACAAATTGTAATGTTTCGCCTTATGTGATTAAAATGCTTAGTTATTAGATTTGATTACTGCTCTTTGTTTCAGCAAATGGATTGAAAATTTGAATCAAAAAGAGCTGGCTCTACTAAAAGGGATCCAAAATTACAGCCTAAACACAACTGAAAAGTCATAAAGATAACTGTGGTACAGTTCTAGAATTTATTCAACTAAAAGGAAAGGTTGCATGAAAATTAAAGTAATAATATCTCGAGACAAATTTTCACACGGTGGCACACGGCACAACAATATGGATTTTTTTTTTATTATCATAAATGTTGTAAACAAGAAAAATAAAATAAAACAAAACTTTATAACATACCAGTCGGCAGCTCACACCAATGACAACAGCTTGTGAATTCACAGACTGCATTGCATCTAGCAAGCTATAAAGTAATCTTTGTTTTCCCTGCACCCCAAAAGAAAAGTTTACTTGCCAACCTAACTTTTTTCCTGAAATAAAATTATTAATATCTTATCTATGGTCCAGACAGACCACAACCTTAAAAAAAGGAGCTTTTACATTTCATATTATGAAATAGACAAATGGAAGATCCTAACCTGAGCAAAAAAATCAAATTCATCAAGCACAAAAATAATTGTTTTATGTGCTAATCCACATTCCCTGTAAAGATAAACACAATCAGTTCAGAGATTATTAAAACAGTTTTTTCTATAAAAAAAAAGGGCAAATATATCACCCTTACCTTAACATTGCTATAATGAACTGGGAGTTGTCATCAAACGAAGCCTACAGAAATCATCTCATAATCAATTTATGTTTTAGTTGGAAATGCATACATTGACCTCAAATAGATGAGCACAGTACCACTTTTGAGAACAAAAGTTGATGTTCCACGCACAACTGTCGAGCAATTTCCTGATAGACATATAACTATGACAAATAAGAAAAAGGATAGTATCATGAACATCTTAAGAAAAATTATTTGAGTGCATGACCTAGTAAGATCCTAAGCATAAAATTGATGGTTGAACAAAAAAACACATCAGGTAATATTAATGAGTGGCAAGATTGTGTGTGCAGATCATAGAAAGAAACAGATAAGCTTAGCTTTTAATTTTATCTTGCAAACTAGCACAAGACCAGACCTTGCATCCATTCAATCATACGTAGTAAGTATATACACATAACTTGTTGATTTGCTTATCAATAGGTCACCTTTTAGACATTCCTTTTATATTTCTTCGATGTGATAATGATTAGTTAATGTCTAGACCCACATATTTTCCATTAGAGACACTTCTAAATTTCAGAGAGTAGCGTTATTGCTTATAACCAACTTCCTAATAATTTCTTGTACTAACTTCTCATTGTTGCCTCGGGAAGTAACAACCAAGGATCCATCTATTCTTTGAGAAATTCCACATTAATATCTGAGAGTTGTAAGAATATCTCAGGTCTGATAATTTTGTTCAAACAACCACCCTGGTTTAACTGTGGGTTAACCTTTGCATTGTACCAAATATGTATCAGAGTAATTGCGCCTATAGTCCCCAAAGATTTGGAAACATGTCATGCTAGTTCCAAGAGTTCAATATGAAAATGTCACCATCAAATTATTTTGTAAACCAAACATTAGTTCCCAAAAAGAATAAAATTTCTATGGTTGAAAAATATTTATTTTCCAAACACTACTTGTCTTGGTCGCAACTAAGACAATTAGTGAGCCATGTAGGCCTAGTTTCAAAATTAAGCAACCCCTTTGCTCATCTGTTAATATTCTTAACAGACAAAAAAGAGATTTATATTTTTATCAATACTTAAAAGAACCTAAATTATATTTTACAAAATTAAAAATAAGGAATTGCAATATTATATTAATTTTAATTTTTTTTCAAAAACAAATATAGATAATATTAATAAAAATTTGGATTAAAATCTTCTAATACTACAGTTTCATTAATTTTTATAAGAAAATAATTTTTCCCATTTTTCCTTTTCTTCTCTACAATCTCCCTGTGTTCCTTTTGACCAGAGGCCAACCAACACCAATAAGTGGGGTCGACTATTGAACCCTGAATGCTTATGTCTACAATTAGAGTCGATGCAACTCCTAGGATAGTTGGATGTGGGGCATTATTATATAAAAAATAACACATAATTTATTTTTTTGAACAGTAACCCCCTTAACAGATTTGTTAGAAAAATACCCCCAAACTACCCACGTAGGACTATCTCACGTCCTATAAAACATGTTTAATGGACCTCACGTTTTATAGGGCGCGAGATCTATCAACTTTTTCAGACAAAGTCATTTAATATTGGACAAAGGCTATACTAAATGCATGAAACTCGCATTTCGTAAAACGCGAGGTCTGACCTCGATTTTTGCAGAACGCAAGGTTATCCTACATGGCAGTTTGGGGGTATTTTACTAACTAATATGCTAAGGGATTACTGTTCAAAAAAATAATTTATGGGGGGTTTTAATATAATAACACCTGGATATGGCACAGGGAAGCCAATCAACGCCCCATCCCGGTGGCTGGCCCATTTCAATGCCATTCTGGCAATGAGGAAGTAGATCGATCCCCTCTGCCATCCAAAACTCTGAAATCCAAAAATCTAAAATCTATCTCTACACAAAACACCTCTCGGGGAAAGTGTTAAAATATAGTTCTCAAAAAATAATCCTAAATTCCAATTTAAAATCCCAAAAGTAAACCCAAAATCAATCTAGAAAACTCATAACTATCCAACCCGTATTAGTAAATACCCTTCACATCCAAAGCAAAATTGGGTTTTCATTTCCACCTAGGCATTGTTTTTATACATGTCAACTTTCAATTTGTCACTCATTGGCAATTAACAATCTAGTTGACAAAACTTTGAAAGAAAAACCTTTTAATTATAAGGACTGAAGTGAATATGTAACATTTTGAAACATTGAATCAACGCTAAAAGCAACCAAAACGTAAGGAACTGCAACTGCAATTTGCTCTGTTTTAAGCATAATGTATACAAACTTTATTTGATTAGCAATTTGGTTCATATGAAAGTATAATTTCTGCATGAATCAAGTGTAGGATGAGATAAGATCATACAAGGTATCACAAGTTCAACATGCATAATGAGCGAACTTAGGTGGTTGAGAATTCATGATCACGTAATTCAGTAAGGCAAAGTATAATGTAGGAGTAGAAAGGTTGTAAGATGATTTACCTTTAGTGCACAATTGTCGTCACTATGCAGAAGGCCATTCAGTCTAATCTGCATCAAGAGCCAACCACAATATAAGATGAGAAAGCACAAAATGTATGTATGTGTCTGTCTGTGTGTATGTAGGAATATTAAAGCAATTAAGCTTTTTTGTTTAAGGCACTGGTTTACATATAATAACACAAGCATCGTCATAGATGATTTTATCTTAGACAGTGTGTACATGGAAATGAAAATTCTAGCACGATGAGTTCAGGCATCAGTAAATGAGAATTGCAGTTATCGTGAACTGTGCCAAAGACTCCTAGTCTACCCAAAAAAACCGCTCAACACTTTCCTAATAAACTGAATGGACTAGTTTCAGCAAATAATCAAATTTAACCTTAGTCCTTATTCTAATTAGTATCCCAAACATAATTGCAACAAATAAAAAAAAACTTCAAAATTCATTTCCTCCTTTTCTAACAAACTAGATCAATTAAACTTCTACCCTATCATCCTTTTCTCTGATGCTACAGCCTCGAGAACAATCTTCCGTAATACTGAAGAAAATAAAATAAAATAAGAAATTAAGGAGCACAGCCATACCACGGATATTCCTTCAGGGTATTGCTGTAGAAGATCGCTCAGAACAAGTTCCAAAACCTTAAAAAAAACGGAGGAAAATTTCACAAAGGAAAATAAAATAAATAAATAAATAAAATGTTCTTTTTGAAGAAGAAAATGTTAAATAAAAAGCGAGCATAATCAAAGATAATGGCATACCGCGACTTTCCCTGACCCACGAGGACCAAGAAGTAGAATCGAATTATTACATGCTTCCGTAACTGAAGTCGATATTATGAACTTCAACTTGCTGCCAAATAAATGAAACAAAAGAAAAGGAATTCGATTAAAAGAAGTTGTTTATTGAGTGAGCATTTCCCGAAGTGAGAACTAAGAAAATGAGAGCAAACAGACCTGTAATTGCTGTCCGGATAATCAGAGAGGGGTCTAAAGATGAAATTTGGGTCAGTGAGCCGAGATCGAAGGAGATTTAGAGCCTTCTCTGACGGTTTTTCTTTCTCTTTTTCTCTACCCATTAATCTTGTAGAAAAAGATACAATTTGACCAGCAGTTTCGTATAATTACTGATTGAGCAAACAGATTTCCGTAATTATATAATGAGATTCAACGTGATAAATTGATAACCAGATTTTCAGGAAAGGGAAACCGCGTAAAAGTTCACCGTTTCGTGGGGTTGGGGGAAAACAGAACAAGAATAAATTAAGGAAGAAGGGAAAGAAAAAATTTAACGGTGACGGCAAAAGGGAGATTGCGAAACAAAACGAGTTTAGGCGAGGGAAAGAGGAGAAGAGGAGCAGTGGATTCCCGCCAAAATAATGCATTGGGTACCTTTGGGAGGCAACTTAGGTTTTTTTTTTCATTATAGCATCGAGGTTTTTTATTTAGTCCATTAGAGTATTTAGTTTTTTATTTTGAAAAATACAATAAATATTGTAGTAAATTTAGAATTTATCATTTTGAGATAATGAATTTTAATAAAATACAATTTTTTTATTAAATTTTATTACATAGAGGTAAAATATTTGAATAAAAAATATTTTTATTAAAATCGACATGAATTTCATGTACTATAAAATAATACCGTAGATGTCAAAATAAAAGAATTTGTATCCTATTCTAAAAAAAATTCGGGCGTAAGCAAACTGGAGACCAGTTATAGTTGAAATGAGTTGGACGTTAAAATAATCCACAACATGCTACTTTACTTTGGTTATTTTCAAGGATAAATTGCACTATAAGGTCATCATATTATTATCTCTCTCTTATTTTGATTACTATATTATTTATTTTATAATTAATTACATATGATATGTTGTTTTTTTTTCTATTTTGATCAAGTATTAGATCAGAAATGCTGAACCATAAATTTCGTACCAACAATCACTATAAACCATCATCTCTCATGTGAACATCAACATTTGGTATGGTAAATGTAAATGAATGTTTTAGTCGATGAAATTAATAAAGATCCATAACTCAAAACAAACTTAAAATCAATTTAGTGACTCAAAACTTATGACCAAGTATAGGAGAATCAACACTTCGGCTAAAATTTGGTTAATGGCCCAACGAAAAACATTCTAGTGTCTTTGAGTCATAGTGGTTATCAACAGTCAAATAACAATGCTCCAAAAGAACATCAAACTAATCAGTTCGGGTAAGGTTTCCTAAGCTATACGAGGTTTTATGGTACAATCTCGTCGCGACAAACAATCAACCCAGGGATTTCGTAGGATTATATGCTACTCTGGATTGTTTTGTTGTAGACAAAGCTTAGATAACTCTTAAGAGCGATTTAGGGCTTTCCAAATGCTCCACCATCAACTAAACTTTCGACCTACAAGAAATTAGGTCGAACTAGATAGTGCTATTGGAAACCATTTCCCTCAATGAAAACATGTTTGATTTTAAACTTAAAATTAATATTTAAAGTAAAATAACTAATCTCATGTAAAATAAAATATTTGAAAATAATTAATTACAAATAATAAATATTCTCAAATTATGCAAAATAATTTGAAATATTGTAATGTCCAATGTCCCACATCACATTAAAATAATCCCGAAATAATAAATGCAAAAATCCGATAAATAAAATTCATACTAAAAAAATGTTTTTTTTCTTTTGAAAATTAGTGTTTACATCCTAAGTTCAATTATCTAAAAGAGATAAACTAAGGGGTGTAAGCTAATAAATTTAGCGTGTCTTTAAAGTCTGAACAAACTCAAGTCATAGCACAATCCGAAACAAACAATATTAATCATATTACGAACTAAACATTAATAATCAAATATTTGAATGTTATGTAAATATTCATGCTCCTACAGTAATTCGATCACACCGTTAGAAGAGTGAGTTACCAATAACGACACTATCTACAACCAAAACATACCATGACACTGGAGTCTACCACACATGTGACATTCACCCTGTTAAGTGAATGTGAATGCATTGAATTTCTCCTATCAAAATTCGTCCCAATATGACATGCAAATGACATACATATTCGAAGTCCGATCCGAATAATCACATATATATCTGAATAATATACTTACAAATAACAATATTTCATGAACAGCATTTTCGAAACATATATTCCGATCCCGGTTCCGATAATTCAAGCAATAACATATTTAGTATGTGCAATATATATTTCAATTTCGACATATCAACATGGTCAATTTCCACAATCAAACATGATTTCAAATAATTTCTCAATCAATCAAGCAGTTAAACAACTAAGCAAATATATGTAGCACCTGTAGAGACATACCTTGACAATAGCTAATGGCGATGATAATCTCTACAATGGTCAGCTCGAGAGTATATCAACCCGAATGGAAACCTAATAAATAATTTAATAAATAAATAATAAAGTATTCTGACAATTTCGAACGACTAAATTAACAACTATCACTCACACTAAACAAAAGTAATACGAGTCTATTCGAAGTTCGTAGGTAATAACAGAGGAAGCGGTAACTCAGTTTTCAGTTCAGAAGTTCCTACAAAAATTATAACATTCAACTTTAGGTTCAATATCAGAAATTCCAGTTTACGAGCTAAAACTAACGACGATTTAAAATTATTCTCGATTCAATCGGAATCTCGACATCTTTTGTTCGAGAAAAACGAACTGTCAGTCAAATAAAATAGGACTGCCAGCGACGAAACTTCACCGGCAGCAACCCCAAGAAACGGCGATTTCGCGGTTGGCCTTGCCGTGCCTTTAAACTGCAGGCCGCGGTGAACCCACGGCGTCTCAGCGACCTCCACGAGAAACAGAACCGAATGAGGGCTTTAAAGCCTCCTTACGGCCGACGAGGGGCGCTGGAGCGCATCACCGGCCGATTAAGATTACACCAGGTGAGTACCGAACTCGTGAAGGCCATGAACGGCCGGCCACGGCAGCGGCAGGGGTGGCTCCATGATTCAAAGGCCACGGTTTCACGAACCAGTGCCGCTCGACAGTAACGGCAGATGATGAGGTGCCGGTGAGGCCCTTGAATTTTTCTCGGCGACCTACCTGCGTGACCGGTCGGCGTTGTAACGACGAAAATAGGGAGCAACGCTTCTACGGTTTTCCAAGGAAGAAGATGAAGCTCTTTTTTTTTTGTGTGTGGGGGGGGGGGGATGGGAGGGTTTTTTCTATTTGGAAAAAGGGTTAAATGATGAATAAATCCTTAGTTTATTTATGGTTTACGAGATTGACACATAATTTTAATTCCTTTAATTTGGCCACCAAACGAAATCTAGGTACTTAAGGCTAAAATCCCCAAATTCTAGGGTTTATAAATTGGAGATTTTTCGGTGTGTTACAAATGTAACACCGTACACAAGCCCTTGAATGAACTATTGATTATTGATAGACAAAATTAGGGAGCACAAATATACAAATATTATAGACCCTACAATATATTAATAATAGCCAACGATGGACGATGGTCATTAAATGACGACGAATGATGATTATCGATCGGAGTTCTATAGAAAGGACAAAGAGAAGAGGGGTTAAAGAGGGAGCAAAAAGAGAAAAAAATTAAGAAAATTTCTAAAACATGTATTTAATTGCATCATAAGGATGCTCTAACTTTATCCACGCATAACTAACGACTGAACATTATTTTGACTCTAACGTTAAACGCAAACCAAGTTTGAAAATATTTTGTCGTACGTAAGGTAAAATGTTCGATGTTTATGTCTTCTTCTGGCGAGTTTTCAAAGACCTAATTTTTTTTTTGAACCACCATAAAATAGTTTTGACAGGTGCCATGCAATACATTACTATATATTATTTAATGTTTAGAACATAATCACGCATGTTAAAAAAATAAAACTTGTGTTCGAGATAAATTGGTTTGAACCATGTTGATTCAAGATGCAATTTTTTTTTATTTGAACAATAATATATATTTGCATTTTTTCCTATAGAGTATCGAAAGTCTTGATGAGTTTTAGATACCCCCAATCTAGAGTGTTTAGAGATCTTGAAACTCGATGAAAGTATCAAAACTCCGCTAAGAGTTTCAAAACTCTTGGTATGAAAACTAAAAAATTATAATTCTACCCCAAAACTCTAAGGTTTTTGTAAAATGGTCCCCATCGACCAAAATTGACTTAAAATTGATTGCTTTGAGCTCGAAGTTGTTCTAAACAACTTGAAGAGCTAGATATTGGTGTAAATTACGAATGAGGGTCAAAATATTCATGTGTGGTTAATTTTATAAAATAAAAAACCAAATCTTAAACTTTCCTAAATTTGTAATTTAGTCATTGGATGGCACATCTTCTTTATGATGTTTATTTAGTATGATGTTCATTGGGTGACACATCTTCCATGTTCCTTTTATTTATTGCATGTCTATCAAACCAAGGGGTGTTGCAGTTAAAACCTACGCAAATGTAGAAAAAGGAAATGAAGAAGAAAGAATAAAATAGGAAAATTAAAGAGAAATAGATTTTACATGGACATAAAAAGTAAAAGTAAAATCATCATTTTAAGGTCTGTTTGTTTCCTTGCAATTAAATTTTCAGAAAATATTTTATTCATTTTCTAATGTTCGATTAGCGGAAAACAGATGGTCATTGTAATTCATTTTTCAGATCAACTTAACTTTCTTTGTTTTTTTATGGAAAGTAACTTACCATATGATTTTTCGTAAGTCATTTTAGGAACTTACCACTTTAAAGCATAAACACTCAAAACATTATTATTTTATATATTTAATGTTAATATATTATTTTAGTATCATATTAATAAAATATTAATTATTAAATCATATTTATTTATAATTTTAATAATATAATATAATATTGTTATAATTATATTATTATAATTATAATTTTATAATTTTATTTTAATAATATATAATATATAATAAATTATTAATAAAATTAATATTATTTATTAATTTCATAAAAATAATATTATTTAATTATTTGAATAATTGATATATACTCCTTAAAATATAATATTATAATTTTTTAATGTTTTAATAATATTATTATTTTAATAAATAGTTAATATAATTAATATTATATTATTTCTATTTTAATAAATAATTAATATAATTTATAATAATTTTATTTTAATAAAATATAATAATCATAATATTTTTTATTTATAAAATTGTAGATATAATATTTTAATAATAATATTAACATAAATAATATTAAATAAATTATTATAATATTTTAAAATAATAATATTATTTTATTAATATTTATTATATTTGATGTTTATAATAAATAATTTTTAAAGAACTTACCAATCAGTAAAAAATGAATTACACCATATCATCCAAACACTATAAAATGA